AAGCAGCGCCCCTAGCGGAAGTAGGGACAAACTTGCCTCTTTCACATACAAAATTTGACGATGACGATACGATGACAGCTCGTCAAAGTTCGTGCTTAGGCCTCTGAACTCAAAGCTGGCCACGCAACTACAGCAGAAATTAATGTACTCTCTTTGTGTTCTACAACTTGTCTTACATTGCTAAAACATGAAACAATCTACAGTTCTACACACAGCATACATAGTATGTACAATTGTAACTATTTACACAAATACATATCATGGCAAAGATACCAAACGGAGTTCTCTGCTTTGCCATTATGTGAACACGCATGAGCATTTCACCTACATATTATAATGTACTATCCAACACTGCATAATAGTAACTTATTTAATCCCTTGGCAACTAGGTACTTGGTGAAAGTATTTATTAAAGCATTCACGATAAGGCAAATTCTAATGCATGTTCGTACTGTGGCGGACCTTGCAGATTATTGGTAACTTACAATTTTATTGTCCAAATAAGTGAGAGACATTTAGTCTCAGTAAAGTTATTATAAATTAAAACCCGAACACCCGAATAAACTAAAACGAACATTACCGCAATCTTTTAGGTTGTCATAATTACAATTTAACTTAATTGCCCAAAAATCTCAGTTTTCAGCGGACAACAGAAGTATACGGGTATAACATTTCGGGTACGAATAATTTAAGAATTAAAGGTGAATGACATCAAAATTAACAAGTTTCACTGTAACAAGTATCGTAATACATGCATTAATCTATTATTACAATTACAGACATTGGCATGTGTATGTACAAAGGTGGTTGTGCGTAATTGAATTAAGATTACTAGGGTAACCAGATAGGGATGACTCGTTGATTTGGTTGATATGTTCCAAGTCCTTTCGTGACATGATGCAAGAACTGTGTGAAGCCCTGTGAGCGTATCTCACAAAACACGTAATGTATGGAAAATAACTATTTGCCGCAACTACCGTCGCTTATCTATACACCATGTCGCAAAAATATTTAAATTTACACGGTTGTATATTCATATAATCATAAATATATTCATTTTGTACATTACACGTGTGATTTTTTCTTTTAAACTATTTACAAATTAACACAACATTTCAACCTTCACCTCTATTCACAATGGTTATCTAATCAATAAACTAAGTATAATAATAATAATCATCAGGATTGTAGAATAAACTAAATTTACGAAACTCGCGTTTTAGAATTTTTATCGTTTTACCTAACCCACTATCTCTAACTAATAAAAACATTAATTTTCAAATTACAATTTAAATTATTTATCCTGCTTACAGTTTTTTATATAATTATAAAGAGGCAGAAACTGAGAACATAGATTTAGATTTTTTTAGAATTTTAAGAGCACTTTCCTTGTAAATGGAAAAATTTAAGGATGACCTAAAATAACATTACTTAACTAAGAATCTGAAATATAACTATTATGGTTAATGCTTGATAAAGCACTTTCGATAATATTCATTACACAATCAACCAGAATCGGGTAAAAGTTCCATATGGATCTCTTGATCTATAGTGAATATAAATAAATAGCGTTATAATGGTTTTCAAAATAAATATAGATAACTTTCATTACAAATTAACTATGACAACATAGAGTAACTAAAAATGCATTTCTAAACGCACTCTGCCTATTTTTTCGTTTTTATTTATATAGGTATTCATCTTAACGGCCGCAATATCGTAATGCAATATTATTATCTACACATCATTCTTTATCTTCTCATCATAAAAAACTTAAGCCATTTGGTATATAAATACTGCCCTGAACAAAATCTGCAATAATATAATATGTTGCGCACACTCTGATGTGCCGAAATTGTCAACTACTTTTGCTTAGATATAATTTGTATTCACCTGTATATAAATATTATAAAATGCCATTTTAGTAGTTTTTTTTATGGAACTTGTGATTGCGATGAAGAAATGCTTTAATAAATTCCTTTTATGCAAAATCATTTGCAAGTGTCAAATGATAAAAATATTAATTCTTATAGATGTGAATAAATTACAAACTCAGTTTTTTTAAAGAAATGTGTAAATAGACCGGTCTTTGGGAAAGCAATACTGATATTGTTACATAGGACGAAAGGCTAATAGAAAAAAGCTATTTAAATAGTATGTTTATACTATATATTAATTATAGATTTGTCTTTTAAGTTCTAGAGGAGACCCCGCTCCAAATTATAAGCTAATAAATATAATTATAAGAGCCTGCTTTATATAATATCAATATACATAGTGAACTTCATGATTTACACAGTACAATATATAATATAATTATTATATAGCATTGCATAGAAACTTATTGTAACTTTCATTTAGCATCAACTATGTTGATCATAAAATATTAACCTCTGTAGCACAATGAGTACATAAGCGATCAATTGTCTGGAAAAATAATGTTATCTTTTTTTATTGAAATAAGAACATTTACAGAATGGACGGGCGTAGTGTTTGGTACTATTACAGCGATTGATGAATTCAATAAAACGTCCCCGTAATATTTATTATTTTATGAACGTACGGTATTTATTGATTTATTTACAAGACTTCACCATTAGGCATTTGCCAGTGGTAGATACTTGCGAGTTTAGTTTGGGTTGCCCGCCCGGTCTGTAAAGGCACTTAATTTTAAATCTACAATAAATTTCAATTGAATGTTAAAATTTTCTGAAAGCACTTCACATGGCTACCTATATTTGATTTTTGTAAATCTGAGAGCAGTATATCCTTATGAATGTAAAGGAGAGACTGCTATGAAATTTACAAATACCACATACGAAAAGTCATACGAAATAAAAAGTCAAATATTGCCTAAATATTGTTAACTCTGTATCCGTAAATACATCTAAGTAAATTGTTTGCAAGTCCCTTTAAGAACGTGTCGGGACGATGAAGCGCTACCGTTATATGTATGTGCTTTTGACGCACACGACCCAATATCGTAGTTCACTGTTTTAATGTAATCACAATTTAAAGCCTATTAAGAAAACAAACATCTTCGGACGAAGATGAGATGCGACGGAGGCTAATCTCATTGAACATTTAGTATCTCCCTCTAATGGTCTAATTTCTACTACTTACCTTCCAACTTGACACTAGAAAGACATTTACTTCCAGTTGATTTAAATTATGGCAAATTTAAAATATGTTACGTAATTGAAATGTAAAATCTGAAAGATAACCTATTCAATTGCGTTTGAAGTATTCACATAACAAGTATTACTTATATGACAAACGGAAAATTATCGTGAGCAGTGTTGTTAATGACAATTACCCCCTATACCTGCGATTGAAATGAATCCAACGGAAATATAGGTTTGACTAACTAATGAAGCTAATTAAAATTAATCTTAAGGGAACGGAGGTTTAAGTTCAATCGATAATGAATGGCCTTGATACCAGAAATCAGGTTGGTGAAAAAAATATGTAACAATATGTAACAAAGTTCTTTATAGATAATGTCGTTTCACGTGTCATTATGAACTACAACTCCGATTCGCCAGTACATCAAGATCCATTAATCGAGAATTTTAAGTGACTTTTTGCTAACTTTAGCAAAATAATCACGATAAGGCAATACATAACCACTTGTAAAATTGGTGTTATCAATGGTGCAAGGTTGCTCGCTCTACATTAAATGATAGAGCAATTTCAATATAAGCACATATCGGTATTTCGAAGATTGGGAACAACAACAATAATGATATGAGACCTAAAGCGTGAGGGGTTAAGTAGGAACAGCTACAAATAAGATCGCTCTAATATTAAGTTTTTTAAAGTGTTTCATTGCTAATTATTTATTGGTAATTTCAAGCTGTTCCTAATATTTTTTACCACAAAACGATTTTATTTATTTGAGCCACACTGATACTTTTATGCTATGAATAAGCTGAACCAACTAAAAGAAGCATAGCAAACAAAGAAATCGCGATAGGTACGAGTGTTTGAGATTCTAATATATTTCGAATGATCTGCCTACTAAAATTATACCCAAACCCATTACCAAACTGGCATATCACATGGCTCTTCGTATTTGCCTAAACTATTTTTTTCTCATTTTGATTTAGATAAGGATATACTGCTGACAAAATTAATGTCAAATATAGCCATGTGAAATGCTAGCACCATGCTTACACATACACAAATCGCATTCGCCAATAGATATTATTATGAACGAACATCATATATGTTTTTCTAGTTTGGGCATTGCATAGCTCAAGGAAAGGGGTATTGACAAAACAAAACTATTTTTATATACAGGTTACAAGTGGGCAAATATTAGTGACTCCAATAAGCAAACAAGCCATTCGCAATTATGCAACTGTTAGTTTAAACCAATTATCTGTTACTTTAGTGTAATTAAATGGAAACATTCAATATTCATTTAAATCAAAGATTTCTTTATTTAATGTGACAATATCCCTCATATCTACTTTGAACAATGACGATTACTGTAATCTTACCACTTGCATAGATATAAAATTATGTTCCCATCAGTTTCCGAGATCTATTAAATGTATGAACCTTCAAATGGTGTGTTTGAAACGAAATAATAAACCAGTAACCATACAAAGAAGACCCTAACTGATCCTCAAGGCCCGTCAAACTTATGTCGATGTCTTGGTCCGATAATTCATACAAAACATTTTTGTAAGAGCCAGAATTACAAAGTATATATATAGACAGTAAAATTGATAATGTATTTCCCACTACATATTGTCATCTTTGTCCTTCAACCTTCCCCTGTGCCATTGAAATCATTGAATTTGACTTAATAAAATATTCAATGGGGCAACATTTTAACTCACTCAGATGTATGTGACATTGGCACAAATAGTAAGTCACAGTATAAAAAGAAATGAAAGAACATATATCGGTTCAATCTGATTATTTAGTTTTTTTACCGACACAATATAATATATATATGTGGGTTCACCCATATACATATATGTATATGGGTGAACCCACTGATTAAAGAAAATAAAGAAGACCAAATAAATACAACTAAGTATTTCAGAATATCTCAACTGACACTCGGTAAGTCGGAGACAAAAAACTCTCTGAATTTTTAAAAAAAAAAACCTTTATTAATAACCTTAATTACTTCATGAAGCTATGTAGCGAACAAAAATGGTTTCACCTCAAAATTTAACGTAGTGTGAACGACGCGTGTCCAATAAAACTTACGTGCCAGATAAGTTCAAATTCAAATAAAATAATCGTTTGGCGATTAATTTTAAATTTAAGAAATGCTGAAATTCCTATTATTGCGTCCAGTCACAAATGAACGGTTACTGAGTCGAGGCGGGGTCTAATTTAGCCAATACACGTTAAAGCAATGGCATATAAATTGATGTTGCTATATTCAAATTTATGATCTATTGAAACTGTGACAAAAAATACTATAAAAAACCTATTCTGTTACAAGAGACTAGAGTGTGGTGATAAGCTTTTTAGATACCAGAGAAAAGTTAATTATACCGAAATAATATTTTAGAAATCATTTACCTTGAAATCAGCAAGCTCGCTATGGTCCGATGAAGATGCAAATGAAAAGCGCAGACAGATTCAATCATTTGCCCGAGTATCGTGATCGCAAAGTGACGAAATCTTAACATTCCAATTGCGAATGATCATGTTAGACTGTAGACAAACTGAGTGCATTTTAACTACACTCGTACTGCTAAATTGTCAAATAATAAAATCACTTTCTACGCCGTTTTCAGTTTGTGCATTTTTTGCTGCGGTTTGCCAGATTCCATCGTCACAAGACGATGACGCCACGTTGTTTACGGCAGTTAAGGCTGTATGGGATTAGTATTCCTTTTCTTTGAAAAAGGATACGGATTTTTTTAACGATGTAATGAGCGGTGTTTGTGGCTTTGTTTACTACTGAGGTTATACATTCACATTCAATGCTCATTCACAGGTAAGTCCGTGTTGGTGTTCAAAACTTCTTAAGGCCAATAAAGTGTCGCTTCTTACGGTTGAGCATGATGGTGTAATGGAAGACGCCAACGATCAGTGCAGAAACATGAGCCAAGAAGAGAAACTTCAACTAGACATGTTACCGTGACATCTCGACAATCATTAAAAGAAAGGAGCTAACCATCAAGACATCAACTATGCATGATCGATATTTAAAGCTTACATTAATTTCCGGCGCCGTTCTAAGTTGGTGATGACGACGTGGATATTTCACGCGATGGCTGCGATCTTGGTTACACAGACCTGTCTGCAACAGGTAAAGCGTCGCTTCATGAGATAAAGCGTGTTGTACTCTCATTGAAAAGCCAAAAAACGATGAGATCGCGCGTTTAGTTCACGCCACCGTCGTCGCTGTATTGACCCACACTCTCAGAGCATCTTCGGTGTGTTGCCTTCAACCATATTTCGAATATTGAAAAGCAAACATAGACAGGGGGCACGGTCATTGACCCGAGACGGTGTCGTTGCGCGCTATATTCACGGCACCGTCGCCGGCTTTAGTGATCCGCGTTCAGAGCTATCTACGTCCCGGGAAAGCGTAATATTTCCTAACGGGCGTGGTCATTGACCCGGAACGCAAACGTCACGCGCTGCGTTTACGTTATCGTCGCTGGAAGTAGTGATGCGCACTTAGAGCATTCTAGGACAGGTGAAGCGGCTCTCCTTGTTGGCGGTCAGGAGGTCAATTGCCTAGCGATAGCCATAGCAATCACATTAGGCGATTGGCCCCTGGTCTGTAATGGGTGTGGTCATTAACCCAGCACACAAACGTAGCGCGCTGCGTTTACGTTAACGCCGTTGGTTGTGTGCATGGTGCATCCCCAAGATCCTCCAGGGCGTGTTGCCTTAGACAGGCTTCATAAAGATTGCATCGGTAGCGGGCGCGGTCAGTGATCCGGGACGGTGACGTCGCGCACCGTATTCACGTCACCGCCGTTGGTTGTAGTAGCTCAGAGCTTCCTGGATCTGGTCAGGCGTCGCTACTTACTGTCAGGAGTGGTAAAGTCCGATGGGTGGCGGCGCGCACACACGGACCTGGAACTCAAACGTCAAAGCGCTTTATCACACCACCGTCCGTAGGTTGCAGTAGTTCAGATCTTCTTGGGCCTGGTGATGCGGCGCTTCTCTACCTGTCAGGCTTATTTGAGTCGTCGGAGGGACGGCGGCGTGATGCCGGCGTGGCGGCGTTGTAGGCGCGGTCGGGGCGCGCAGCTCGGTGGTGGGTGAGGTCATTGACCGAAAACACAAACGTCACGCGCTGCGTTTACGTTAAAGGGCCGTTGACGTCGCGCCATGCAGAGGTCCGTTGGTTGTTGTAGCTCAGAGCTTCCTGGGCCTGGTGAGGCGGCGCTTCTTCCTGTCGGGCGTGGTGTAGTCGTCGGAGGGTCGGCGGCGCGCGGGCGGCGTGGCGGCGTCGTCGGCGCGGTCGGGGCGCGCGGGCTCCTTGGGCGCGGGCAGTTCGGTAGTGGGCTCCGGTAGGCCCGCACCGCTGCCGCTAGCGACCGCGACCGCGACCGCGACCGCCGCCGCCTGCGGGTCCGTCGCCTCGCCGCTCGTGCCGGCCTCCCACTGGAGTCAAATATAGAACGTGTTGTTATATTGTAACTTTCGGTTCGAAAATCAATGTAGAATTAAAATATGTTTCTTACATTAGTGAAGTTGAGTATATTTCATACAGAGATTCCAAACATTTGTAACACAAATAGTATGAATGATAAACATAATTGTCAATATAACAAATCATCGATAAGGTAACAATAACTTATTTCGTCATTTTCATCAATTGGTTATAGGTAGTGGCAAAATTCTTGAGCAAAACCAGACAAATAAAATAAACCAGCGCAGTACTCTTTTGTATAATAAATAAATATTTCCCACACTCACAATTAGCCTAGCCCCAAAATAAAAACTTGGTAGGCTTGTGTTATGAGATGTTAGCGGATAGAATACATATACTGATACATTAGTATTTTATCTAGAAATATATATAAAAATCCATGACTAAGGTACAAATTCTTGTATTCATCATACTAATATTTGCCCCCAACGGGGTTCGAACCCGGGGACCTCTTAGTAGGCGACGCAATGAAACCCCACGTAATATATCACTCGGCCACGGAGGTCGTCAAAGGTTGTATGTTTAGTAAAATTCCTACTGCGCAGGCTTCCTTGTCTATGGTTGTTGCTCAAGAAATTTGCCCGGTTATATAACTAAGAATTAGTTTTTTCGTCATTGTTGCTGAAGAAGTAAGCCGGGTGCTTATTTATTAGTTGTTCTTCACTGAATATGTAAGTATGCGTGTTTAAAATGAATAACTACTCAAAAGGAGGAAAGGACATAAAAATAAACAAATTATAAAAAAAACATGAAAAAAAAAATACTTCAAAAATATACTCTATATATATACGTAACCCAATAATGCTTAAGTTTCATTAAAACATTAAATTTCACCTTATACAGGGTTAACCCATGTTAGTAATACATTTCAATTTAACTAATGTCTTTTAAGAGACCCACCCAATGTTGGAGTACAGGCGACTCCCACCTATCCGATAACACGCACAGGATGCTGTTGGGGCTGGCGCGCACCTAGAGTTATCATCCGTCAGGACTTTCAAACCACAGTCCGGATCTTTAAACTGTTCCGATTATCGAAATTACATTGAATATGTACAATAAAAGTATATATTGATTTAAATACCATACCATTGTAACTAAGTGAATAATGGTACCATTTAATGACTAAAAAGTTCGGACTTTTTTTTAAAGGTCGGGATTTTTGTCAGGACTTTTGAAATTCTTAAATGGTAACCCTACGCGCACCCAACTCAGTAGCGAGGCACATCGCTTTCGGATAATGGCATGGAATCCATCGGTCCTTGCCTCAGATTATAACTTCAATTGGGTTACCTGGGCGAGCGATGACGCGGGCGAAACGCGTAACGAAGCGCCGCACTCCGCGCACAGAGGCGGCACCGCCGGCGACCTCGACCGCCAGTACTGGAGCTCCGTCTTGCACTTATTCAATTCCTGAACGAACACAAAACAGATCAATATAAATGAAAACCCTTAGTACGAGTTTTACAATTACGAAAACTATGATAGTTTTCGTGAGCTCGCACTCGTACTAAGGGTACTGATTTTATTGTTTTCGTCTCAATACAAATAAACAGTGTTTAAATTCTATCATTTAATCATTGCGTCTTCTTAAATTTAAGTATATTTGGTTACTTTTCACCAAAATGGACATAGAAACATAATTTACAATTACGAAAACTATGATAGTTTTCGTGAGCTCTAGCTCGTACTAAAGGTACAGTAGAACGCCGATTATCCGAATTAATTGGGACCGGGGGGTTGATTTGGATAATCGGACATAGACTGGCAATAAAGAAAAACGAGCAGTCACACATAGAATAAAACTTATTAAGCTTAAGAAACACAGTTCTACTATACTAAATACAATAATAGAGGTAAATATAGCAAAAAAAACCGCGCGACGCAAAACATGTAGTGTATTGCCTCTAGTTTTCAACCATATCCAATTGTTACAACAAAAAATAACAAAAAAAACTTGGTTTTAATTTTTTGTATTACGCTTAGGACCGATACGGATAATTGGGGATTCAGTTAATTGGCGTCCGGATAATCGGCGTTCTACTGCAAATAAATATTTCTAACACCATAATGATGGGGTAATAAAGTAAACGAAATTGCTTTTTAGTCCGTCAGTTATTGTTTCCCAAAAATAATGGACACTTATTTTTTCTTTTGTCATCAACCAAAATATTATATGATAATGATGGAGTTTGGGCTTGTCACGTCCCTTCTAAGTAAAAATTTTACCAACACATGACGCCATGTGACATCTCAAATCAAAATATCTCTGTAATGTTTTGATGAAGGAAGAAAAATACGTGTCCAATACTTTTCGATAATCTACCTGATAATCAAAGAAAAAAAAATTTCATGCCTATTAAGCCTAACCTCAAAGTAAACACTAAAGCTTGTGTTATGGGATACTTGGGTAATAGATAGAATACTTAATATACACATATAAAGTATCATTTGCCAATAATTAACTTACTGCAGGGCACAGGCCTTCCCTATGGATGGATTAGGGAGACTGGGCCGTGACCCACCATGAATGGGCCCGTAGCGAATTGGTGGGTGCGATTGCAGATGCAGCCGGGACTAATCGCTAAATGTGCCTTCCGAAGCACGGAGGAGCTCGACGCAATAAGTATTTGGTCACCCATCCAATGACCCACCATTGCGAAATTTGCTTAACTTTCACGATCGCAGGCCCAATGCGCTAACCACATGCACCATCGAGTTCCCATATCAAATAAAATAAATAAATATTTCAAACACACCAATATTAGCCTAATTACAAAATAAACACTGTTAGGTATGTTTGTATTATGGGATACTAGGGTAATGGATAGAATACTGATACATATAAAAGTATATTTTCTAGAAATACATCATAGTACAAACATTTTACCCTACCAGGCTTCGAACCCAGACATCTTGAAAGCCGGCATACATACGACTTACGCCATGGAGGCAGTCTTATATTAATAACCAGAATTACAGTTTTATTTGAATCAGTCTATTTAGGGAATGCAATTCCCTAAGATAATTTCAATCTAGGTATTTGCGGGATTGGACCATCTTAATCCCGCTGGATCCATGCGTTTGCGGGACCCAGCATGGCAAATCAAATCATTTATTTGCTCGAATTGTGTACAATAAAAGGTTTTACTTGGCGCCAATATTTATACCGTGAATAATATGTAGATGTAGGCGTGAAAATATCCGGTTTAAACAGCTTAATTAATTTAGGGAGATTTAAATTTTTTGACCGAAACCAATCCCGTAAAATATCCGGGACCCCGGTATTGCATTCCCTAACTCTTTTGTTATGAAAAAATAAGTGTTAAGTATGCAATTGCTTAATGCGGCAGAAGCCAACTTATTCACTTAGTGAAATAATAAGATAGGAAATAAAAAATTATGCTTACATCCGTGATAAATATCTCTATAGATTTACGCCTGCACATCCCGCGCTATTCGTATATGAAACAGACAACAGTCGCATTAAGGAGTTGCCTTAGTGCATTTAAGTGGTAATAAATGATAATAACAATCAAGTTTAACTGGTCGGGTTCAACTGTTAAATACCCCATTTTTTAGAAAATGGAATAATTCCGGTTCAAGCTTTAAAATAATTGATATTTGCGCAAATGAAGTTTGCACATTGGTGGACAAGACTGACTATCAAACTTTACTGATTCTTCATGCTGCCATTTCAGTTGATTATTTGTATTTGCTTTTTGTTAACTTAACAACAGTATTTCCTTTTCATTTCCCATAATAGTAGAACACAATTACCTGCTGCCAAAATGACAAATAGCAAATACGAATAGCAAGTACTGGCATTATAATAACATTTCCAGCATCACAAGTTCAAATGTTACTTATATAGTTTACGTACCTGTAAAAGAGTTTGAAATTTCCGGCTTGTCTCCTCATTCTTCTTGTCGTAGTCATCTAACCTATTAGCATATTCCAGGGTCTGTTTCTGTTGTTCGGCTATCTGTTTCTGCTGCTCAGCAATCTGTTTCTGCTGCAGAGCCGTCTTGCGCTTACAACTCCGTAGGTCGCTACGTAAAGCTGATAGCTGGTCATTGTACCTGAAAACGGACAATGCTTGCTTATAATAATAATAATGTTTTATTTCAGATACTACATCCATAGAAATGTTAGTAACAATCAAACCTTAAAAACTATGTTAGTACATTTTAAAAACATAGTTATTTCATATATATGTAAAGAACCTCTTTACAGTCAGTTCTTTAATTTGTTATTCTTAAGTAGTTTGTATAGCTCTCGGGCGACCTTAATAATAAAACTGTCACTTGATAGATGGTGTCGCTTTGACAGAACAAGCCGTGATATTTTTATTTGATGATTTTAAAATATTATTGTAAAGGAAGGAATTGTTGTATTCAGTAAAAGACTTTAAATGTCGTTTCTTTGTTTTCAGGTAAGTTAGTATGATTTATAGTAGATAGTAAAATGTGTAGTGAATAATAAATGTTTTAACCTACATACATACATACTTAAATAAAATCTTTGTTTTCAGAGCAACACATTGGTTTAATTACTTTTACAATTTCCATTAAAAGATATTGTCTTATAAAACGACATTTCTAGTTAAAAACAATAAAAATGGAAAAACTGCGATTTAAGTTTGTAGTAATGGGATCAGCGGATGGAAAAACAACTAATAAGTATAACTTCAATTGAGACACCAGAAGGACGTATTTTTGAGGTTCCTGATGAGTTCAAGCCCACAAGTAAGCATACTGCAATAATTTCTTTAGATATATTCACAAAAAATAAAATTCACTTAAAAAGAGGCACCAAAGTCGTTCACTATGGATACCTCTAAGCCCAGATTTGAAGAAAATATATCTAGATGAATATGAAAATTTGCAATTTGGTATTTAGAGTATTTAGATGAAATTTCAGAAGAGCAATGCCCTCACATAATTACTGTAATAGTAATGTGCCAGAAACAAAAAATATAGCAAAAACGGCTGAGAGATTTTTGATAGAAAATTTTTCAAATAAAATATCAGATGCTGAACAATGGCTGAATGAATTTGAGAATGAATGTAAAAGATTTGATATTCAACAGGATGTAGAGAAAATTGAAATTTTAAAACGACTTATAGAAAAACAATGCTTAGATTGGTATAGCAGTATGTTAATAAAATTTTCGGTAAATTCCGAATGGTTAATATGGAAGAACAACTTTTGTGAAACATATGGAAATAAAGGTTGGTCCAAAGTCAAATATGCATTTACATTTAAATTTCAAGCTGGTTCGTTACTGGAATATGCCACAAAAAAGGAAAGATTGTTATTAGAAGTTAATAAATACATAGACTCCCAAACAATGATAAATCTTATTGTAATGGGGTTACCAGATTACGTTATGGACAAAATCGATAAAAATAGTGTAAAATCAACTGCAAACCTCTACAATGAAATCGGAAAACATGAATATGTAGTAAACAAAAGAAAAATCAGTATAAATAAAAGAAATGCTTATGAGACTAAAGCAAAATCTGATAAAATAAAACCATGTAAAACTTGCGAAAAATTAAACAAAGGTATTCGGTTCCACCCTGAAGAAAAGTGCTGGTTCAAACAGACAGAAGAATATGCCTATAAAGGAAAGAATAGTAAGATAGTACACAATTCAGTGATTGATGTTGAAATCAATAATAATGAGAGAAAAAACGAATAACACCATTAATTAAAGTCAAACTATTATTAAATTTACAATTAGAAATATTTGGAATATATGATTCAGGTTCCAACGTTTCCATAATAAATTCTAAATTAATAAAAATAAAAGAAGAACATAAATGTAATTTAAAATGTGACAATTTAATAACAATTAATGGTGTAAAAAAAGCAATTGGCTTGACAACTATCAAAATAAAAATTTTTGATATTGAAGAAAAAGCTGATGTATACATAATTGATGGAGAAGAATTTAAATATGATTTTATAATTGGACTGGATATAATAAAACAATTCAGACTGATTCGAAATGAGAATTGCAAAATCACTCAAAAAAAGAAGAACTAAAAAGAGATAAAACTGAAGTTGATTGGATCAGAGATAAAAAAAAATGCATTTGAAAATTCAATTAAATCACATAACTACAATAAACAAATATTTGATAGAAATAGAATTGATTTTAATTTCAATACAGGGGATATGCTATATGTAGAGAATGGAAATAAACTTAATAGAAATAAATTGGATTAAATTAACATTTGGTCCATTTAAAATTATTGAAAATATATCAAATTCATAGAATTAATACAGGTCATAAAAAAAAAGTCAAATCTCTTTCATATCACAAAGCTTATACCAATTCATACCTTGATAAATTAGAATGAATTAAATTGAAAATAAAATAGATATTTATCTTTAATAACTTTAGAAGATAAGATTTGAGTAGATATAAGAGAAAATTTTCTGAAAATTTTCTTCTGTAAGGGGGGAGATGTAAAGACAGTGGCGTAGCATGGGGGGGGGGGGGCGGTCCGCACCGGGCGGCACTTTGCCGGGGGCGGCGCTGCGGATGTGGCAGATAGAGAAAAAAAATTAAAATATAAAAAAAAGTTAATTTCTTTCAGTTTTTCAGGTACCTATGCAGGTTCTATGCATGGGTGATGCAAGCGCAAGGTTTTCTCTGTAATTTTTCTAAGTGATACTGTGATAGTCTACCTTCTACTCTATGTCAAAAAATGTTAATTTCACTCTTAGGTTAGTGTTATTCAATAAAAGTACTCTTTTTACCATGCCTCAATTTTTTTTATAATGGATTGCATAAATAAGAGGGCGGCAAATTTGGAATCCGCACCGGGTGCTAGTGACCTATGCTACGCCACTGTGTAAAGAACCTCTTTACAGTCAGTTCTTTAATTTGTTATTTCTTAAGTAGTTTGTATAGCTCTCGGGCGACCATAATAAGAAAACTGTCACTTGATAGATGGTGTCGCTTTGACAGAACAAGCCGTGATATTTTTATTTGATTATTTTAATAAATATTGTAAATAAATATTGTAAAAAATATTGTAAAGGAAGGAATTGTTGTATTAAGTAAAAGACTTTAAATGTCGTTTCTTTGTTTTCAGGTAAGTTAGTATGATTTATAGTAGATAGTAAAATGTGTAGTGAATAATAAATGTTTTAACCTACATACATACATAAATAAAATCTTTGTTTTCAGAGCAACACATTGGTTTAATTACTTTTACAATTTCCATTAAAAGATATTGTCTTATATATATATACTAGCGGACCGGACAGACGTTGTCCTGTGTACACGTCTTTAAATTGAAAATTTCAAACTTTTTTTAATAAGCTAAAACATTCTGGACCATTTTGATGAAAATTACCATTTTCAGATCCCCTTGAACACATACAAAAAATTTCATCAAAATCGGTCCAGTCGTTTAAGAGAAGTTCAGTGACATACACACTCACAGAAGAATTATATATATAAAGATTTGACACTGCGATGGTAGCGCCGTCTGTCGGATCCAATGTAAAACATTCCGAAATCAACAACTACTAATAAATTAAAAATTAATTAAAAAAACATTATCCAGCGGACAAAATTGTGAATCTAAACCATTCTCAGATCCCCTTGAACACACACAAAAAATTTCATCAAAATCGATCCAGTCGTTTAAGAGAAGTTCAGTGACATACACACTCACAGAAGAATTATATATATAAAGATATATACCTTCTGAGGCACCGGGCACATGTGAACATGTGTATGTACCCAGTGCCTCAGAATATTCATTTGCTCTTGATTGTTTTGACAAAATTTTAACCTTTGCTTAAATATATCCTTCTAAATTCAACCATTTCATTATAAATGTAACCGTAACGTGGTTTCCCGTGGTACAAAACCCAGTAGACAAATTTACGCCGTGCATCCTGGTGAGCATCACGCACGTGCTTATTCCACCCCATCAATGGACGACCGCCCTTCCTGACCTTGTCACTATTATGATTACATTTGTAACTAAATTTAGAGGCCTCCACCAGAGTACTAATTATAGAGTCATATAATTTATCTATTACAATTCTGTGGTCTAAAATATTACACATATCGTCAGAGCACTGCCTAAATTCCTGTAGGAAGTCAATATCTCTAAGTTTCATCTGACAAATATCTCTATAAACTTTTAAATAAAATTTGATTTAAGTTTCGCTCTCTCCACCTTATATACTTACATTATTATAAAATAAAAATAATAAATTAAATATTTTTATTTTCTTTAACCTTGTTGGAGTGAATAAAATAAACAGTTAAGTAATAATTTAGGAATGCTGTTGTAATGTGATGGGAAGTGAACCAATAAAATATTAAGATTGCCAAACCCAAACTTTTAACTCAACATACTATTTAATAATGACACAAATATGTATGAAAAAGTCATTAACAAAAACCTATGTCATGAACTTAAACACAGTTTGCTTAAAACAAAACGTTATTAATGTTTTCTTGAATAGTTAATAGCTATAACCTCAGTAAATAGTTATAAAAATAAACTACCTTTTATAAATAGTTGTTTTTTTATTTTATTTATACAATTGTATCCAAGCACAATATAAACTGAATCTGGTAAATATTGCGTTGTATTACACATTGAATACTCTTCTGTGACTTTGGAGACAATAACAACCATTATCATTTTGAGTTAAAGAAACTTTTCAGAAAAGAAAAGTATTTTGTTGCAACTGCGTAATTTTTCAGCTTGATAAGTAAAATCATGAGATCCGTTAGGACTACCATAGAGTGACAATCATTCTGAGTACTTAGTTTCACAGAGCTCAGCAAATGTAAAATGGGGTCAGGGTAAACTTCTCTTGACTGAGTACCCACAGGATATTGAACATTTCCATAAATACATAGAAATTGAATCTTACAAACTTTTCAACCAATCATTCGAATTGACAGTTTGTGTCATGTACACAAACCAAAAATATTATCAGAAAGTAAATAAATGTACGGATCATCTCAGTAAGTATAGATTCATTATGTCATCGCAAGTGTACGAGATTCACCTCGTATCATGTATAGAGACTGCTAAATCTCTAACGTTAAGAGTTCTCATAGGTTTGTCAACCCCGCGACAACACAAGCCGTCGGACCACACCTTTAAAAGGCCACCACGAAGCGAAGCCCACAGTCGCCGGGGCTATCGTAAATCCTAGCCTACCGACTACCGAATCCGCGCAGAGACCCAAGCACGAATTTTTACAGCTCTGTAATAGTCTTGTCATCGTCATATTTTGTATGGAAAAGCTAGTTTGTTCTTTCGTCCGATAGGGGCGATACGATAACGGGGCTGTCAAAATTCGTGCTTGGCTTCAGGTCGTTTGCTACTCTTATCGTTAGGCCAAAAGTTAGATTTACATCATTCTGCATAGGTAGAGTGATAAATTAACTAATAGCAATATATAGTATATATAGACGGCCAGCAAAACAGACATTGATGGACAAACGTGTAAATGTGGGCCGAGGCGAAGCCGAGGCACACAGGTAAGTACATTAATTGCTTGTTGTGGCCAAGGCTTGTATAGAACTTTTCTGAAATAATGCGCGGAAATTGACACTAAATAGTACTTATACAGAACTTATTACTTTACAATACAATTTCCTACTTTTCAAATTCAATGACTACAACAAACAACAACACTCACTTATTGTTTTTTTTATTTTTCAGTAAAAAGCTTTCTATTTGCGAAGCAGTTAGAAATTTAAATAAAACCTTTGATAAATTACCTCCTTGGTTGCCATGTTTCGGAGTAAAATGTCGTTCCATTTTAATTACACGACAGATATGAGTTTACTATGTAATTTATTTGGCCGCTAAACACGACCGATATGGAGTTTCATACAACTTTTGCCAGTGGACATGTATGTGGACAGTACAGCAATTTCGATTTATCTCTAAGAAGGTTGTGAAAATAATGCTCAAAGGACATTGGGCAAAAATGTATGGACGCTGCACCCACGTCCGCCACGGCTTTAAGTATGTGTGTGTATGTGTGTATTTGTTTGAAAGTTATTATAGTCATGATCATCTGTGCCAAAGCGCATCAAATTCCATCCCGGGGGTCTTTAGTTATTTTAAGTTAAATAGGTACAAGTACTATAAAGAACGAACATTAATGAAACAAGGGAATTAATATGTAAATAAAACAAAACACTTACTTCTTCATGCCCTGTTTGATCCGGTGTATCCGTTTCCTGAGCACCATATTGCTCTGCGGCGGCGGCGGCGATGGCGGCAGGCTCTCCTCCATGTACATATTGAGGGAAGAAACCCTGCGCTCTCCCGACCCGCTGCTGCATGCTGGCTGTGGCTCGAACCCGCTAGGCGGCGGCGAGTCCAGGCAGATGTACGACTTGCTGCTTTCGCCAGCTGCAAGCGTCACCGTTATTTCAAACTATGAAAACAATAACCATCAGCCTATATTAATGTCGAAAAAATAATTGGGAAATTGGGCATATGGCCCACCGCACAGGCCCAGTTCGCGTAAGTGCTAGCCACTGCATATGCAACCGGGACCAACGTCATAACGTGCCCTCCGAAACACTGAGAAGATCGAAATTTAGAAGAGACGCGCCGCTTGCCAGACCCGCTGCTACTCACCGGCTGCGGTTAGAACCGGCTGCGGTTAGAACCTGCTGGGCGGCGACGAGTCCAGGCAGATGTATGACTTGCTGCTCTCGCCGCCTGCAAGCGTCTCCGTCGCTTCAAACTATTTTTGATAGTATAAATTCTGATTATACTAATTCATAATCAGGCTATTAATTTAGTGCGGATTGGTGAATGCTAACGAATGTAGATTTAGCTGGGACCATCGTATCTTCCGAAGTACAGGGTAGCTCAAGATATAGAAGAGATGCGCCGCTCGCCGATCCTCTGTTTCCTGCCGGTTGCACCTCGGCCCCGATAGTCGTTTTGGGTTTACATGATGCCAGAATTTGGCCCACTATCGGTCTGCAAAATTGAGGAAACCTCGGAAACCCCGTTGGGTAAACCAACGCGAATCTCAACAAGGATTCTTTAACGTGTCCATCAACCATGTGTCAGAAGTATAACTTACTGCTGCAGCCAGCTGCAAGCGTCGGTATTGTTTTAACCATCAAAATCATTTCTTCAGTCGAAAAGCTACACCATCAAGAAATTAAGAAGAAGGATCTTGTTCAGAGAAGACCGTCAAGAAACTAATCAAGGGCAGGGCACATTCACTTAACCATTACCCTGTGCCAGATGTGTTACTGCTGTTGCCAGCTGCAAATGTCGGCATTGCTTCAAACTACGAAATCATTAATTCAGTCTAACTAGATTGTGAAGCACTTCTGATAGTCAAAGAATTACCTTCATCACCGTTTCGCAAAACGACGACAAGAGACTTTTGAGAAGAACCGGCAATAGACTCATCAAGGCCTCATTTGCATGTCCATTTACTGTGTCCACCACAATTATTTTAATTATATTGCAAAGTAACTGTTTGTCTGTTACGTTTTCAAACGGCTGAACAGATTTTGATGAAATTAGATTTAGTAATAGATTGTACTTTTATGAAAAACGATACATTTAGGTAGATTCAAAGCCGGCTCTTGTGCTCAGTTCAGCCCATAGAAACCCCTAGAAGCAAGTAACATTTGCGTACCTTATACATTCCTCATGCACTTGTCTGTGAAGTTTTAGCACCTTTACTCACAGTAAAGACTCAGAAATATAGAAAAAAAACATAGAAACTTAATGGTGGTACAGTTAAATACGACCTGGGATTGCAGAGGTTAAGCAACTTTCGAAATGGCTTGTCACCAGATGGGCGAGTGAAATTTATCACGAAGATCTATGTTTAAAAAAGGCACGTTAAAAGTCATAGCTCATTGTTAGGTTTTTTTAAAATTACTCGATGACGACGATGACGTACGCGTTTTCCTCTTTGCTTCTACGTTATCCATGAGCTAAAATTGGGTGTGTCGCTGTCGAGAGTCGCAGATTACTTGTTGTTTAACTTAAGTAAAAAAAACATAAAAATAAACTCTTTAAATACTCACGTGAAAAAGCTGTAGTAATATCGAAGAAATCTGTACCAAAGTATGTAATCTCTGGAAGGTTAGGTTCAATGTGTTCCTTGAAGTATTCCATTGCCATTGTTGTTAAGTCAAACAACTCATCAGTCACTTTGTAAGGTCTTGCAAGTTTTGTTGTTGTCTTAAGGTAAGATAGAATACTGTAAACCTCATCCAATATCTAAAAAAATATACGCACATTACTAAATATCTCAAACAGAGGAGTTACAAGACTTGTATTACCATATAACTTAAGATATACCTATAGCTGTTGTACATGCAAGCTGATCTAGGAGCAAGAGAAAACATGTGCTGATAAGTTTTCTGAAGAGATAGAAAACTTTGACTATCTCCCTAGTTAGTTAAAGATAAATAAAGAATCGAGGCACACTGCACAAAAGTATGGGAAGCCGAACACATAAACACGGTAAGAGTTTTCCATCAAAAAAGATCTGAAACGCGTTCGTATTTCGACTTCCAACGACAAAGATCGACTGCGAATGACGGCGAGAAAAGTTAGAACCAGGTGCATCCAGGTTCTACTACTCCACACCCTAGGTATCATTGATAGACCCCTATGCTACGCATGCATGAGGGCAGAAGAAACGGTGGCCCATGTGCTCCTCGAGTACACCGGCGTCGCTCAATACCCGCGGGGAGACTCTTGGTAAACCGGGTTTCCTCGCAGACGCCCTAAGAAGATTGGGAAGTCTGATCTGCTTCTGGGGGCTGGTTGGAATAATCAGCCGCCTTGCCTCGCGCACAATGGTCCATTTTAAGGACTAAGTGCGGAAACCCTTAAGATAGATAGAAAATCCATGATTCTTTACAGCTTCAGCAACAGAACTTCCTTCCATCGTCCATTCCATCAAAAACAAAATGAGATGCTTGTATGGTGTTTGTAAATTCGACTGCGTACAGCTCCGAACAGATGCGATGGCGTCCATTACACACCAAGGTAGTGTCTTGTCTCAGTTTGTGTGTTCAAACAGTAGCCGTATTGTGCTATCTAGTGCTCTGCCTCACTGTTCGGCCTCATGGCGTAAAAGGCTTCAGTGACAAGATAATCTATCTCCTATATACTTTGCAAAGTTCCTGTTCCTTAGAGCCAAGACATGCTGATCGATAGCATTTTAATAATAGCCCAATATTGCCAATGAAAAAAGCACATAAGAACACCTAATACCGATCAACCACTTAATGAGTCATGCATCTGTGTGCGATTCAACCATTGTGAGAACAAAAGTAGACTCAAATTTAATGTCTCTTAGACATAATGCCGGCGACACGTGCCTCAGAAACTTTGACAAAGCCTTTGAGCATCACTGAAATGTCCTAGCTATTCGAGCGGCCATGCCGGCGGTTCGTTTCTGCGGTATAGCCGGCGGCTTTTGAGCCGCACTGTGTGTAGAAGCCATAACAATTTGCTCTTCAAATCCTACAACACTTGGCGTCATAAGAATTGCACCTCCGCAAAAATAACTTTCAAGCGGTTTTATAAATCTTAACACACGCATTTACCCCCACCAATATTGGTGTCATATGAAAGCCCATTGATGGGGGTACATGCGCGTGTTAAGGATTAATAACACTTGAAAATTATTTTCGCAGAGGTGCGATTTTTTTGACGTCGAGTGTATTTCATTAAATAATCGAAAAAATTTGAGAAACCTCATATTTTTCAAACAAGTATCTACCGATACCCCACATCATGGGGTACACGAAAAATAAAACATCACCATATCATTGGGAAAACATCATCAATCCAAATTTATTTCATGCAAAATAACCAAGAAGAATTTAAGACAAGAACTGTATTCCAAATATTCTCATTTATTTTGTAAACTTTATATCAGAGAATAGTCACTTATATCTACACTTAGAAACAATCATTAAATAAAAAGCTTCATTGTCACATGTTGTTGTCTTATACAAATTGCTCAAGCTAAGACAGTGACAACACAACATTCTTCCAAGTTAATTGATTTCTTTTAGTGCAGGCAGACATGTTTTACATTTGTGTGATTCCAAGTAATCAAAAAATAAGGTAGTGTGAAACACAATCAACAAAATAGTTTTCATAAATACAAATTATTTTACCCCATATTTGATGTTATACATAAAAGAAAATATATTATATAATATATAAATTTAGTAAGTTTAATTATAATAAAGTAAATTATTGCAATAAAAATTATCCAATTTGCTTTGAACTGGATTGGATAAGATAATCAATATTTACCAAATCCATCCTTATTGATGCTTTCCTTTATCTATTCTAATTGTAACCTACCCCTGTGTTTTGTAAAAATAGAGACCACAGCAATTTTGTAAATTGTGGGAATAACCTAAATTAATGGCAGCATAAAAGGGATTGCATTTGTTACACAATAATTAGGCTCCAATTGACTGAGAAGACTTTTTCCCAATCCACTATATTGATCATGTTTTATAATTTATTTTGTGTATTTACCAGCCGACTTAAATGATAAAATCAATCTTTTTTAAGTTTTTTGCAGAGAATTTATTTTTATTGAAATAAATATTAAGTGGCATTAATTTGGGTATTGTCTCTATAAGTAGCATTTTTGGCATTAAAAAGTTTAATGATTATAGCATTCTATACATTGATTTACAGTGTATGTATATTGCTAACATGCATCAGTATTTCTATTGAAGGGAAAGAACTCCATATCAGTCCAGTAGTTTATCAAGAGGAAGAACACACCTCTCAATGGTCATAAAATCATAAATCATTACCTACAGTAATTTAACTATAACTTATATCATAATAAATATATTAAGTGTTGATTGATTGTTTCTCTTACCTCTCCAGGGAAAAAACAGCAGTGTTTCCTCTCAATATGTTTCCCAAAAGTCATTTGCAACAGACTTAATCGCATATGCAGAGTTTCAATAATGTCAGACTCACAAGCCAGAGGATGGCTACGTCGAGCACTTTCTCTGCGAGGCATTTTTGCTTTGATTGATTGAAATCGATGCAACATCTGATTTTGTAGTCGTTGAAATGTAGAATTTAAAATAGAGCTACATATTGTATTAAATTGGCGATTGACCTGCAATTAACCACTTGATTATCTACAGGTCATTTAATTTCACACTGTCCTAGTTTATAAAAAATTGGAATGTCAAATAATATTCATGCAAATTAGTACTAATGAATTTGCTATCTACATAATCTGATATCAGTTGTAAGTATATCCCGTCCCATAAGTACATCCCAAGCAAATCTAATACTATAAAGATTCACAATTTCTTTTATTTGGGTGTTTAAAAAATGTATGTGAAGAGAAGCTAATTTATTAAATATAAACATTCGGCTAAGACTCTTGTCATCAGTTTTGAACGAAATAAGCTTTTATTATATGTAAAGGTAATAAACCTTCAAACAAGAATAAAATTCTAATTAAAGACTAAATTTACCAAAGATAAAGTTATTTAACAAAAATGCAACAATCTAGAAATTAACCAAAATATAATTGGAGAGCTAGATAAAGACAATTAAAAATCCAACTAGACAGCAATTTTGTGGAAATATGTAGTAAACTAAAAATATCTATGAGAATATTAATAATCAACTTTTTTAATAACTTAATCATAGTAAATTTAAGAAATACTTGAATTTAAAAAAAAAATCTACTACAGAGTACATACAGACTTATTTAAGGATGTAGAGGTATAAAACAAGCAATATTAACCATTCTTAGATGAGACACAGTTTTGAAACCCAAGTATCCAAAAATCTTTTCAATAACTTCAATAGGAAGATCAAGTAAATTTGTAGAATACGCTTTTGGAACTGGCACGATATTTGTGCATTTAGAAGATGAAGCGTGTGGTGATGATCCGCCAGGGAGCAAAGCGCTTGAATGTCGAGTTACGCGAGAGACGGCCACAGGCTCCGCGTGAGATGGGCCTGCACCGTCATTATTCCCACTACTGCCCACCACGCTACTCATCTGCCTCGTAGACACCATCTTGCCCAGATTTTTTATAAATTATCTCTGAAAACTAAAGCTTTTATAAAACCATCAATCCTTATTCTTCATTGATACGATAATTTCTATAAGTAGATTAAAAATATTATAAATTCTATAGACTCTTTAGTTATATACGGGTTCAGATAACATTTTCTGTAATATAAACTCACTTGATATATTACAGATAAAATCAAATTATTTCTCTATACTACCGAGCGAATTCTAAAATGGAGGCCATGGATGGCTAGATCGCAACTAATCACTTGAAAATTTATGTGTGATACAATACAAATGCGGAATATAACAAAATAAAACAATATTTCAAATTAATCACTCACTCAAGAGTTCATACACATGGTTTACTATTTATTGATAATGGTTTAGACTAAAGAAATAACTAGAAACGCAATATGTACTTGATGTTGTACACGGGCGGTACGCTTTCTCAATCTCAAATAGACTCGATCGCTCGCTCGTTGCCGTGCCGAGCGGAGTTCAAGTTTTTTTTTTTTGGTTAAGTTCTCCCTTTTCAGGGAAGGCAAGGGGAACAATGCCCATACAGCCTAGTCTTAAGTTAAATTATTCTGTTTTCGTTTTTATATTAGAATGTCGGTGTGACGCATTCTAATGTTTCTTGAAGTGCTTGGCACGAAATGTATCGAGCTGGCTTTTTCGATAAGCTTCTGTGAGGTAGACAATACTACAATAAAATCTCACGTCCACTTGACCGGAATAGCGTATATTTTGACGATTCTACTAATTCTTCATTTACGCAGACAGTTGTAACACAAAATCACACCAATTTTATTTCACAATATCCACTATGAACGAATTTAAGAATAATTAAAATAAGACGCCAACCACACTCGATGAAATCCCGCCAAAATCTTCGTTTTTTTTTTGACGTGACAACGTCTTAAATTAGGTTGCGGCTGGGAGTCACTTATGAAAAAGTGTAACGCTCGGTAACGTTACGATGAGTCTCTCGTGTTAAGTTTAAGTTTACATGTACAATGTTTTAGTAAACAAAATATATTTCTATAGTTAAAATTTGTGCAATTCTTATTTTCATTCAATTCCTTGTTCCTATTGTGCAATTTAATTATATTCATATCAATAAATATTCTACCGAGAAAAAGACGTTGTCACGTAAAATCTTCGCCCGTAAAACCGACTTTACAGGCAACCATTTTTTTTGTTAAGTGATTGGTTGAGTTTAGTGATGCGCGTAATCAATTAAATAGCGTTATTAGAATAACGTACTCGATTATATGTGTTATTCCAAGCAGTGTCCAGTGTGGGGTATTATTAGTTAAGAGTACTATATTTTGTATCTAGAATAGTAAATTGATAATAAAGATTAAAAATATTCGGATACTAGCATATTTTTTACCAGACGTTTGAAGATTAAACTCGGAAAAGAGAGTTTTGAAAAAGTATTTTAAATTTTAATTAAAATAATACTTCTTTGCTTGTTACATCAATATACATCGATTCTGTCATGATTCTCTATAGCTAAACTTAAATTTCACAACAGTTCCTCCTTGTCATTCTCTATACAGAATGAAAAAGAAAGACTGATGTTAAATTTAGTTTTAAGTTTAGAGAATCACGCCAGAATCGATCGCATTATATTACAATTTTTAATTGTGGATTGAAATCCTCTCTTTGAAATCAACTAACAATATTTCTATACTTATTAAAGTTTAAATAGCCCGCATGAATACTGCTTATGAGTACCCCAAGCAGTTAAAATATATAATAAACGATTGATACATGGTAAAAACGTCCACGTATCGGAATTTAATACAAAATAATTAAAAGGGAGCTAACGAGTAGCATAATTCAATTAAAGGTATTCTTGCTTTAACTAAAAATAAACCACATAACAAGACCAGATATTTTTATTATAATTTGTACGAAACAATAATTGTTTCGGCCTCTGGTATCTTATATGAAATTACAAATACTAAGTCTATGGAAATTATATAAAAGGTATCAATATCCAAGCCAAAATTACAAAAAAAAAAACAATCTTTTAAGACGATTTGAACCACTGAAACAAATCAGTGATTTATATTTCAACCCAGAAAATCGAAAATGATTTTTGCAGTTAGAGTTAAATCCAGAAATTAATTTACAATTACTTGAATGTTGAAATCTCATCTCATTCTCTCTCTCATTATACTTGAAACTTTATATGGTAATAAAAACTGTTAGTTAGTTGTCACAGGTTGTTCTAGTTAAATCGCTTATCACTAGTTGGATATTTTTTTTATATACATGCATTAATGCGAAGACATTGGATACTACACCCATACAGTTTATTTTTGAAGGATTAGATAGAAACCTCTGTTTCTCTTAAGAAGAAGATTAAGCTTGGAGTATTTAGTTACTTTGAGTATCTACTAATCGGAAGTAGCCCTAAGCACCATACAAAAGTTTATGGCCGTATACAGAAAGAAAGCCGAAAGCCGATCAGCGCTTATCGGCGCCGATCCTTACTACATACAGGAAGCCGATTAAAGCAGAGCAAGCAAAATGTCGGACTCATCGGACGATGATTTGGTTTTGTTAGAAAATATGTATTTAAAAATGCGAAAAAAGCTCGAAAAATCCTATAAATAGAGAAAGGAAACGTTTCGGAGAATACCATCATTTTTTTGTAAAAAAATTGAAATTTGATGATCAAAGATTTTATACATATACAAGAATGACTCAAGAAACATTTTATTACATTTTGGATTCAGTGAAAAACCGTTTGATGAAAAATTGGTGCAATTTTCATAAACAACCAATCCTTCCAGAAGAAAGACTTGTTGTCACCATTCGGTAAGTACGAAACAAATAATTTTAGCGCTTAGTTAATAAAAGATAAAGTTATTAGATTTATAAAAAGATTATAACTTAGATTGATTTAATCTAAGGATAATAATTCAAATACAAATTATTTATTATTCGGAAAACAAAGATCATAATGACCAGCTGACAAGCGCGTGTCGGTGCTTATCGGTGCTGATCGGCGCCGATAAGCGCTGATCGGCTTTCGGCTTTCTTTCTATATGTATACGGCCTAAGGGTGCAGCCAGAGTGCACTCAGATTCAGACTCAGATTCAGATTTCGAAAACAAGCGCGAGAAATAAACAGTGTAGTCTAAGCAGGTTGCTTGCTTTTTCTCGCGCTTTGTTTTCTGAGTCTGAATCTGAATCTGAATCAGGGGCCCAATTCTCGCGGCATAGGGTGCGGCCAGAGTGCACTCAGATTCAGAGTCAGATTCAGATTCTGAAAACAAGCGCGAGAAATAAACAGTGTAGTCTAAGCAGGTTGCCTGCTTTTTCTCGCGCTTTGTTTTCTGAGTCCGAATCTGAATCTGAATCAGGAGTGCAATCTGGCCGTACCCTTCGACTACACTGTTTATTTCTCGCGCTTGTTTTCGAAATCTGAATCTGAATCTGAATCTGAGTGCACTCTGGCCGCACCCATAGATATTATATCGGCTTCGAGATAATATCGAAAGGAGGGATATCTATTGAAAATATCTACTGATGGTAAAAAATGCTATTCTCGTGGATTTCGATATTCCAATGATATTATATCTATCGTAGATATTCTTTCTCTGACGAATGCGTTCCGTTTTTCTCGATTAAGTTAACATCATAGTCTATATAAAATAATAATAAATTAGAGCAGAATTTTACAAGCAACAAAATGATATTTTATGAATTCCATTCATATTAAATATGAGTATACATTTTTTGAGTATAAGAAATCTCAACTTTACCTAAATTGTATGCGTATATAACTTCAACGTTATGTATAATGAAACGTCAATATTATTTAAGATTCTCCCTTTTCAGGGAAGGCAAAGGGAACAATGCCCATAAAGCCTAGTCTTTAGTTATATTAATCTTCTTTTTTTTAGATTCAAATGTCGGTGTGACGCATTCTAATGTTTCTTGGAGTGTTTGGCACGAAATTTATGGAGTTGGCTTTTTCTCTAAGCTTCTGTGAGGTAGTCAACACTACAATACAGTTCTCGCGTCCACTTGACCGAAATAGCGTATATTTTAAAGATTCCACTAATTCTTCAGTTGCGCAGACGGTTGTAACACCAAATCACACCAATTTCATTTCACAATATGCACTATGAACGAATTTTAGAATAATTAAAGAAAGAAATCCCGCCAAAACTCCGTATCGTCAATAAGAAAATGGTGTCGATTCTGGCATGATTCTCTAAACCTAAACGTAAATTTGACAACAGTGGTGTCGATTCTAGCATGATTCTCTAAATCTAAACTTAAATTTGACAGCAGTATATCCTTGTCATTCTCTATACAGAATGAAAAGGAGAGACTGATGTCAAATTTAGTTTTAAGTTTAGAGAATCACGCCAGAATTGGCACCAGTGTATCCTTGTCATTCTCCATACAGAATGAAAAGGAGAGACTGAAGTTAAATTTAGTTTTAAGTTTAGAGACTCGTGTCAGAATCGATACCAATGTCATTCATAACTTTAAAGATTTCTAACCAAATTTTTGTTTAAACGTAATTTTTTTATGAAGTCGGCGTCCCTCATTTCAAATGGGCCCTCTTGCTCTCACGACGGCGGCGCCTTAGCACAGCAGCAGCAATCACGTCATTTATTAAATCATTGACGAAAACATGAATCAACTGATCCATCGTTAATATAAACTGGTGTTGATTCTGGCACGATTCTCTAAATCTAAACTTAAACTTGACAACAGTGGTGCCGATTCTGGCACGATTCTCTAAACCTAATCTTAAATTTGACAACAGCGTATCCTTGTCATTCTCTATACGGAATGAAAAGGAAAGATTAATGTTAAATTTAGTTTTAAGTTTAGAGAATTACGCTAGAATCGACACCAGTGTTTCCTTGTCATTCTCTATACAGAATGAAAAAGAGAGACTGATGTTAAATTTAGTTTTCAGTTTAGCGAATCACGCCAGAATCGACACCATTGTTTACCTACTTCTTTATTTACTAATTATTTATGAAGGCAGTTAACAACATCTTGAGGTAACAATAATTGGCAAAGACACACGACAACACAAAAAATAATAGGTAAAAAAAGTGGAAATAACAAGATTGACACGCCAAGATCCATAGATATTTATATATCGAAGGCTCTTTACCAGTCGATGTATGTCTACTGATCATCCGTAGATAAATATCTATTGCGACATGGTGAGAATAGGGCAAAAAGGTTTTCCTTCGATAAAAACCAGATCATTCGATATATATCGAAGGTGATATAATATCTATGCCGCGAGAATTGGGCCCCAGGCCGTACCCTTCGACTACACTGTTTATTTCTCGCGCTTGTTTTCGAAATCTGAATCTGAGTCTGAATCTGAGTGCACTCTGGCCGCACCCTAAGGGTACGGCCAGAGTGCACTCAGATTCAGATTCAGACTCAGAAAACAAGCGCGAGAAATATACAGTGTAGTTTAAGCAGGTTGCCTGCTGCCACTATGGCCACCCTGCTTTAACTACACTGTTTATTTCTCGCGCTTGTTTTCTGAGTCTGAATCTGAATCTGAATCTGAGTGCACTCTAGCCGTACCCTAAGTCAATTCTGGCGGGGGATGAGGTAACTACTACATTCAAAGCAGTACACACACGAGCTAAAACAATTTCTGTTGTTTATAAATGCAAATATAAAAAAAGTTTACAACATTTATAATACACACACATTTATCTGTGTAATCAAGGTAAACTTTGTGTAGAGACATATCCTACCCACATTATGTAAATGTAGGAAAGGTCATCGTAAATACTTTTTCGATGTATCGATATTAATCATTTTCGAGAAGAAGAAGTGAGTAGGTACTTAGTAGTCATTTTTATTTTTTTTAAACTAATAAATGGCAAAAAAGCATACGGTCCACTTGGTCTTAAGTTACTACCATAAACATGATACTATGTCTATGGTGTTGACTACCTCACAGAAGCATAGCGAGAAAGCTGACTGGATACAATATTTCGTGTAACACTCCAAGAAACATAAGAATGTGTGACACCCACTTATCCACACACTTAATTACCAATTTACAGTTTACATAAAGTTCATAGATCATAGATATGGGTCAAGGTATACATTTATATCATAAGATTCCCAGTGATATTTTTGATTTACCTCTAAATGAATTTAAAACACTATATATATGGTAAGACCATATAATTATATATTGGTGTCGATACTGGCGTGATTCTCAAAACATAAAACTAAATTTAACATCAATATCTCCTTTTCATTCTGTATAGAGAATGAGATGACAAGGATACACTGGTATCGATTCCGGCATGATTCTCTTAACTTAAAGCTAAAGAAGAACGGCGAATGTAGTCCCAAATGTTTTAGAAGCCGTTCAATGCTAGAAAATAAGGGGATTTACAGTAATTTTTAAAATATAAACTAGATTTTTAAAAGCTTGCATTTAGAAATAAAATAATTTAGGTTCCTATATCGAAACATCACATTATCCATAGCAACTCAGAATACCTGTATTCTGAGCATAGCAATAATAAAACTCGAAAACAGTGTCGTGGTTCAATTCTGTCTTATGCAGTAGTTTTCACTTTAGAATATCATTAAAAGCAGCTATTGCTCACTATATGTAACATAATTATTTTAGTTATTTGATAAATTAAAAAAAAAGTAGTTAATTTTTCTAATTTATAAACGGATATTGGTCTTTTACTTCTGTGAAACGGAAAAATATTTTTAAAATCTAATGTCAATGAGTACGGGTGCGGCCAGAGTGCACTCAGATTCAGATTCAGATTCAGATTCCGAAAACAAGCGCGAGAAATAAACAGTGTAGTCGAAGGGTACGGCCAGAGTGCACTCAGATTCAGATTCAGACTCAGAAAACAAAGCGCGAGAAAAAGCAGGCAACCTGCTTAGACTACACTGTTTATTTCTCGCGCTTGTTTTCAGCATCTGAATCTGAATCTGAGTGCACTCTGGCCGCACCCTAAACAGGGTAGCCATAGTGGCAGCAAGCAACTGGTTGCCCGCGTAGGATTCGGAGTCAGGCACTTTACCGGTTTCTTGTCATTTTCTATACAGAATAAAAAAAAGGAGACTGATGTCAAATTTAGTTTTAAGTTTAGAGAATCATGCCAGACTCGACACCATTGTTGCGTTTGTACCATGCATGTGTCAATTTGAGCTAAAAAAATTTCTCCGCAATTTTATTTGAATACATTTGTGCCTAAAAGATGACACTACTTTTTTATTATTCCGCTGCAAATTCATATAGTATTTTATATTACCAGAGGCAGAATTTCACGAACTATTTATACATGTATCATATGTTAAAAGTATTCGCTTTCTATATGCACTATTTGGGGTACGCTACCATGACGCCAACTCCAAAGATTATTCATAATTCTTGTTCTATCTATCTTTGATCCTTTATGAGCTATGATTATGAAATTTTGATTAGTGTGGGCACAGAGTACTATTTTCTGTCATAATTTGCTTGCTTAACAATAAACCGTTTTCGAGAATGGCCTGAGCATCATGCCAGAATTGACATCATTATTTAATAGTTATGATATATTGGTGTCCATTCTGGCATATTTCTCTAAACATTAACTTAAATTTAACAACATTGGTGTCGATTCTGGCGGGATTCTCTAAACCTAAACTTAAATTTGACAACAGTGTATCCTTGTCATTCTCTACATAGAATGAAAGGGAGAGACTGATGTTAAATTTAGTTTAGGTTTAGAGAATCCCGCCAGAATCGACACCAGTGTATCCTATTCATTCTCTATACATAATGAAAAGGACAGACTGACATGTTTATTTTTAAGTTTAGAGAATCCTGCCAGAATCGACACCATTATAATATTAATAATAACCCCGAACTTGATGTGGTGTACGTTAGCATGACGGACACAAAAGCAGAGCTGTCACAGTTACTTAAAGGAATGGTCATGTGAAGTGCTGGCGTTAAACCAAATCTTATTTTTTTTGTTTGTCAATGTCAAATTGATAAGAATGTCAAATGGTGTGGCCGACTGGCCGAGACTATTTTTGAGAAAAAATAGAATTCCCGCGAGATAAATTACTTCCAAAGGTCGACATTTTTAAATTACAAAATGTACTCTCGTTGTGGAAGCAGTGGTTCAATCCAGAATATTCACCAAACCCCGTCATCTTCGAATCAAAATACAGGTTGACGTTTTATCTGTTCAATGATGTCAAGTAATAAAAACATTGCATGAATGAATTTTAATATAATTGCGTAGTATTGAAATTCTAGTCGTATTTCTGGTCCGTGCACTCTTACAATTTACTGAAATTTAGAAGATAAGTTTTTTGTCTTATAAAATTCTAATTACAAATTAAGTAACATTTCACAAAACTAATTACAGAATTCAAAGCATTTTGCTAAAGCCAGTTCAATTTACAGAATAAACTTACTATTTATGTGAGCTAACTTATGTTGATTGGATTAATGTTACATTCTGTGGCAGAACACTACTAAACTTTGTTTTTAGTATATTCTTAAATTGTAGTATTTATAGATATAAGTATAAGGTTTTTTAAGTAGTATTTATATAGGTACCCATCCTTCTTCTTACTAGGAGATATCATGTCTTTAATTGCATATATGACTTCTATTTGAATAAATGGTTTGTTTCCATTTACCGCAATTCTGCCAAGCAATCAACTAATTTATATTTTTAATGTTTATCATGTGGTATTTATAGTTGTTTACAGTATTTATATATTATTGTACTCAAATTATCAATAAGAAAAATATTGCTTTAATTTTAACTTTTCAAAGATTTGTAATCTCTGGTTACTTTCTTACTATGTGTTAGCAAATTTAAATTGTTTTTTTTTTGTATTTTCTTTTATATAACCTGTCATAATGTTATCAAGATTGCAGTTTTCCTTAATTTTTCATTTTGTATTCATGTATCAGTTTTTAATTGTATATTGACAATATATTTTAATGAACAGAATATGAAATTCCAGAATCATAAATTTATCAGTTTTGTGATGGAATGAGTGAAACAAACCACTTATGTGCATGAATAAAATAAAATATTGTATGTTTCATGCTATTTTTACTGAATAAATGTTAACAAAAACTGATGTTAAATTTTGTTTTGTATTGTAGAAGATGAGGATGACAGTGGTGACAACAAAGCCTCAGCTCTCAGCTTTAAAGAAAGGAGAAGAGAAGCTCATACTCAGGTATTATTAATGTGTTTTTATTAAATTAATAGCTTTATATTTAATTTTTAACTTTATTTTTGTATAAACAAACATACAGGTTTGGGGTAAATCCCAAGTACAAACTTTGACAGATCCATATGTTATCTCCAACGTCAAAATTTCTATGGAAAAAGCTTGTTTGTTCATATGTCTGGTAGGGGTGCTGGGTGGTGCTAGTTTCCATAGAAACTGATGTGGGAGATATGAATGTCGATCTCTCAGTTTGTGCTTGATGGGGTACTATTCAGATAATGCATTTGTTATGCTGTGCAGCTTGTTTTCAAATAAATAGTTATAAACAAAACCTATCAAATTAATTAAACACTGCTTTTTCCTCTTAGGGAGTTTAGGACAGAATCTGTTAACAGCAGATTGGTTTTAGGATAGTACAAGTCCTGAAGATTATATTTATATTCCCTTTTAGATTTTATTTATAGTAACAGTTGATCTTTCACAATGGATCCATCTATATTTCGCTTAAACTAAGTTTTTTTTCCATTCCTAAATGCCCTGTTTTATCTGTCTGTGTTCAAATGAACTTTTCTGATTTACTACTTATTGTTTAAATTAAAATAATTTTGTGTAGAAAAGGCGAATGCAAAAGTAGATGATTTCTATTTTCTTAAATAAGTATTTACAAACAAATAATACTAGACTTTCTTACCCATTTTTAATTTTACAGGCTGAGCAAAAACGAAGGGATGCTATAAAGAAAGGTTATGATTCTCTACAGGAGTTAGTGCCTACTTGTCAACAAACTGATGCATCTGGGTATAAGCCCAGTAAGGCAACTGTAAGTAACATTTTCATCAGTATATTTTTTGTTGTTTCATTGTCTGTCAAGAATTAGTGCTTAATTTGAACCATAGATACAATGTAAAGATCCGACTACCCCTGCCCCCTAGCATGAGCACCGCGATATGGTATATAACGCGTTTTTATCACGCTCAATTGTCAAATTACTATGGAGTTTTACAGTTAAACGCGATAGAAAACGTGTTATAATATAAATTATGATGCTCATGCTACAGGGACTGCTACAGATAATGATACCTCGAAAAATTTTTAAATCTTCTTGGACAGCATTATTAATAATGTCATTATCAATGACTGCTGCTCCTCCTCCTTAATAAAGGCTAGAGTTCCATAAGGTTCGGCACACCCCCGGACGCTGGTCATCCTACATATCAACGACATGCTGTTAGTTCCCGGCATGATTTCCTATGCAGATAACAGCACGTGTGACGCGCGGTATACCGGCCACCCAAATATCCTTGCAGCTGTAGGTTTAAAACGGCAGACAAAGCTTATGTTCGAATAAGTGAGTCTCCGAATGTGGATTATTTATACACACAGAGACACACTTTCGCATTTATAATAATTATCATCATCATCATCATCAGCCTATTAATGTCCCCAATGCTGGAGCACGGGGCCTTCCCTATGGTTGGAATAGGGAGTTTGGGCCATGATCCACCACACGGGCCCAGTGCGGATTGGTGGGTGCTAACGACTTCAGATGCAGCAGGGACCAAAGGCTTAACGTGCCTTCCGAAGCATGGAGGAGCTCCAGATACTAAATTTTTGGTCACCCATCCAATGACCGACCACTGCGATAGTTGATTAACTTCAACGATCGCAGCGGAAAGCGCTTTTACTTTTTATCCCGAAAACACGTTAGGTTCTTGTGGGATACTGAAAAATTAACTATAACGCAAACGCGATAATATTGTAGGATAGGCCTCTGTACATCTATATATATATAAAACTTAAAGGTGACTGACTGACATAGTGATCTATCAACGCACAGCCCAAACCACTGTACGGATCGGGCTGAAATTAGGCATGAAGATAGAAGTTATGACGTAGGCATCCGCCAAGAAAGGATTTTGATCAATTCTACCCCCAAGGGGATAAAATAGGGAATGAAAGTTTGTATGAAACTTTGTCAATTTTAAACCGATCAGGTTGAGACTGCATGCAAGGTATAAGAAGAATCATAGATGAATGTCATTGTGTATAATACAAGCCTGAGAACAAAAACTGTAGTCTACACTTCAGCTTATATTTGCAAAAAAATTGTTTGAGGTTAAGAGACTTAGAATAAGTAGTAGTATATAAAATGATACAAATGTTTATGGTTTCTATCATTTTTAGCACTTTTTTCTGATGCTTTGTCTGTATTTTAGCAATCGTATGAAACCAAAACAGCTAAATCAAATGCAATTAATTGGAAATATATTTATAGCGTGTATGTCAGGGTAACTTCTCGTCTTTATTTCATTAAAATAGGTGTACTCTTTCACAAGTTACAACAATTTAAAGCTACGCAGAAGAATTGGTAATGTGATTTCATACACAATTTTACTATTGATACAGATAATAGATGGCGCCGATTGATTTCTATATCGGAAATGTTTAGGTTTGTCTTTGTCTAAATGATACTATACGATATCGCTAGTGTCTATAGGCTATTGTGGGCGCTTACCATCAGCATCAAGCATGCCATATACTTGTTTGCCATACATTTTGAATATAAATATAATGTTGGTATTGGTAATAATAACAATAAAAACTCACTATTTTCATATACATTTGTATTCTATTTCATCAAACATAGTATAGGTATTTCATAAATAAATAATATAAACGCAACTAAAAAAATTAGGTACTTCAAAAATCAATAGACTACATCCAATATCTACTTCAACAACGCCGACGACAAGAGGAGGAGAGGAATGCCCTTAGGAAAGACGTGGTCGCTCTACGCATAATGCAGGCCAACTACGAGCAGATCGTGAAGGCACAGCACTCTGTGCCCGGCCACAACGAACAGAGGCTTACCGATCAAGACAAGTTCCAAGTGGTAAGTCTTCATCCATTATATGTTGTATAATGCGATTCAACTAAGAATAGGACCGACTTGGCGCCATATTGTGACTTCATAGATGTCAATTCAAACCAAATAGGTAGAGTGAGCAAAAAGAAGTTTTTATTTAATAAAACTTATTTAGTTACTTAGATTAAGTGAGAAAAGACATCAGATTTTTATAATAAAATTTATTTACTACGATTAAGAAAAAAAAACAACCGATTTTTAGTAATATTTATTTATTAAGACTGCGTGAGAAAAAACATTAATCAGAATCTAGCTCTTCAATCTGCTCATCTCTGCATTACCGCCAGAGTAGTTATGAATAATCATGCACTATTACTAGGTCACATACGAACATGCATCCTTTATGTAATCGAAAGTTTCAAATTGAGTTTATGAACGCAACTTAATGGGGCCATCCATAAATTACGTCACACGTTAAGGGGGAGGGAGTGGGTCGAAGAAGTGTGACAAGGGGGTGGGAGGGGTCCTAAATTTCGTGACGTCACATTCCAAAATCTATTATAATCTAAGTGTTGAAACACGAACTCTTAACTATTGCTTTACTAAAACATTTACAACCCAAACGAGAACAAAGTGGCTGCTATGCCAGTTATAAATAATTTACAGGAGTGTCCATGTCCATTTACTCGAGATTTTTGAGTTTGTATCTTTAATCTTAATATATATAAATCTCGTGTCACAATGTTTGTCCTCAATGGACTCCTAAACCACTGAACCGATTATAATAAAATTCGCACACCATGTGCAGTTCGATCCAACTTGAGAGATAGGATAGTTTAAATCTCAAATTATAGTCGCAATTTTAATTTATTGCAAATTATTACTTATGGGCGGTACGAAGTTCGCCGAGTCAGCTAGTTTAAATATATGTTTATAATTTCTAAATGTAAAATTGCAAAATATTTGACGTCACACTAGGGAGGGGGGGAGTCTCCCAAATGTGACCAGCTGTGACAAGGACGGGGGAGGGGCAAAATATCATGAAATTCGTGTGACGTATTTTATGGATGACCCCAAAGTGACATTTGGTTGACAATTTCGGTTATCAACCAGTCATAGCCAAATCTCAATAAATGACAAAAAAAATATCAAACAATAGTAATTATCAATATTTGTTATTGTTTGTTTACAAATGTTTGGTTTTTATTCTAGAATTAGCGTAGTGCAAAAAAAGGGTTCCAAGATTTTTTTGTAAATCGTACTTTTCAAGCGACATTTGACAGATGGAGGTTATTGGCTTTCCTATTCTTATTTGAATCCCACTTTAAGTATCTGTTATGTGTCGGGATGGGGTTCGAAATTATAATGCCAGTTCAATTGAGAGTTCCCTAGTATCCAATAGTACCTACACGCAGACAGCAAGCATGAGTTGTAAACATTTCCTGCAGAATTGAAATTAATAACAAAAATATATAATAACTAGCTGACTCGGCGAACTTCGTACCGCCCAAAAGTAATAATTAGCAATAAATTAAAATTGCGACTATAATTTGAGATTTAAACTATCCTATCTCTCAAGTTGGATCGAACTGCACATGGTGTGCGAATTTTATTATAATCGGTTAAGTGGTTTAGGAGTCCATTGAGGACAAACATTGTGACACGAGATTTATATATATTAAGATAGTACAGAAGGTTATGTTTATTGACTTTTGCACAAAAACTACCGTGGTAGTGGCACTCGTAACCAGTTGTTTGTTTTATTGTCGGAAATGAACCCACCGCCGTCACCTAGCTGCCCATCTAGCTGCCTACCCTCCCAGCTGCCAGCTAGCTATCTCGCTTGGTTATGACGTTGATTTTTCGCCTAGCCCCTATCCGCCATACTGTCCGAAAAGGAATTTCATTCTAAGAACAGCAATTTACCTGTTGAATGTTGAATTTAAACAACCGTCGACTAAACAGTAATCATAACATTTTTTTTTGTCCACCATTTTCGCACAGACGCGTGTCTCAAGAGAATGAAACTGGCACCCGCAGTGGTCTCAATCGTTCCTAAATTGTTCGTGAGCGGTGTCTATGTGTACGTTGCTTGCGCGCACTTTACCTTCTGCTATATCTTTTTTGTGTTAATAACCTTTTTCAAATAAAATTACGTAGGTCTTCTCTAATACTGCTAAAGAAGTGACTAACTTGGGTCAGATATAATTCATACAGAAGTCTATATAATACATTAACTCCATCTGCCTTTTGTTCTGTCTGTAGTCTGAGGTTATAACTTTGTCGAAACTTAGGCATAAAAAGCACAAATTCCTTCATTAATGTAAGCGTTATGAACTCGTACAAATATCATAGAGATACCATTTCCACCAGTAAGTAACAGCTCTCGGTAAGTACTAACATAGTAGAGTTTATGAAGCAAGTTCACAGATAATTAAGCAAACTTTGTGCAATTAATTCATCTATGTGGGAATGTTATTAGTTACTTTGGTAGTCTATGTTTTGGTACAGATAGCCAGAGGTCACGTTAGCCAAAACTGTTAATTGTTTCCAACTGACTGTAAGATTTGTATTTTTTTTAACTTAATTGACCAAAAAGTACACAAGAATGGTACAATAGACGCACTTAATGATAATAGCATTCTCAGTTCTCACCCAGTTAATCTTTGGTAAAAACGAAAAACACGACGGCGGTGTTCCTTTGATACTTAACACAAGACTCGCAATCCATTGAGAAAATTTAACAGTTTATAGTAAAGTGACGTCTTGACTGTCTGTATATAATGACTTTTTGAAGGCATCTATAGACCATGCCCATAGGGTGTTTTTCTACTCACCGGCCCGGCACCGGCATGCCTTCAGACCGGGGCCGGTGTTTCGTTTTTCCATTGCGCCGGTACAGGTGCCGGTTTACGCCTTGCCTTGTTTACTAGCAGACTTGAGCGCGACGACATGTACAACGCGTATAAAATGGTCCCATTAGTCATCGTCTGTATTTGTAATTTATTAAGACGCAAATTAAAACACAGGATTGTAAAATCTTAGATATATTTAATACTGAGAGATATAAGGACTATATTATCTTGTAGCTAGTAAGTAGTACTAGCTTGTTCATTATTGTCTTTTGAGAGCTTATTTAAACAAAAAAAAAATGAGTAGTAAGTAAATACAGTAAAAGCTCCTGATTAAAAAAATGTGACCCATTCCTATATAGCTGTAATCGATATGTATATAGATACATTTATTTTGTTACGTAAAATAAAATCATAAGCTTGGCTTGGCCTGTGCCCCAGCAGTGGGGACATTAATAGGCTGATGATGATGGTGTTATTTAAAAGAGGAAAATTGCTAATGCCAATAAACAATGCTGAATATCAGTCTGAATTAAAGGAGATTATAAAAACTGACAAACAAGAAAGAATGCCAAGTTCTTTAAACCCTTGCCGAAGCCTGTATATTAATATTAATCAATATTATGAAAAAATGGGTAATATTTTTCTACATTCGCGGCCTTTTTCTAGAACATATACCCCGCGTATAAGAAGCTTTTACTGTAAAGTAAGAAGTAAATATTATTATGTGCCCTCCTGCAAGTAATCGGACCAGCGTTGCCACTTTTTTTTGGCCAAGTAGGGATTTAGGAACTTTTTGAGTGAAAAAAGTGGGATTCTTTCGTCGAAAGCGGGACATAGTAAAAAACGTATATATGTAAACAAAAGTTATTGAATATTTATCTTCATTACGCGCTGGGCAGGCGGCCAGTACACACTTGTCTGTGCCACCCGACCGCACTTTCTCAGTACGCTGCACGCACGGTCGAGTTATTACCGAATAGCATGATCGGGCATATCCCGCGCGGGGCATTAAATTTTGAGGTATTGAGTCTCCGGCAGACTTCAATTTTTTATGAGATGTAGTGCACTTATTTGTAAATTGTTTGCTAAAAAACTATATTTTATTATATCCCCGTTTTTTTAAAATAATTATTGTTATTTCAAATTCTATAATTATTGATTAGCAAATGGCAAGTTTATTTCTCTATTTTTTGTGCCAAAGCATCAAATATATTCTATTCAATAGGTAACTAAAGCAGTGATAATCATTCTGTTTATCTTTCATTACATTGTTAGAATTTTAGGGTACGTATTTTATTTCAAGAGGAATCAATCAAATTGGTATGAGTAAAAATTCATCACGGTTTCACGAATATCATGCATGACTGGACATTGTCGTTTGTCATAGTGATTAAGTTGATGTTATAAGCTGCCACACACTAAAAATATGACGTTACTTGACAGGTTGGCCAGCATCCTTACAAAATTGTTAAAATTTTAAACAATCGGGGATAAATATAAAAGTAAAAGTATCTGTTCATGTTATAATATAAAACAAGCAAAAAAATATATAACAAATTATATATGTTTCGTGGCTACCGGAAACCGATTACCACTTTTGAACCATCGCCTTTTACAACTGTTCTTACTTTCGTAGGCATTTGTATGCAATACAATTCCGCTTTTACATCTAAATATAATATACACTAAGACTTAATCTGAGAATCAATCAGTATGGCTTTAGAGCAAAAACTTCTACAGAAGACGCAGTTCTGGATCTTACCTCCAGTATATATAAGCATCTGGATGATAAAAGGAAGTGTATTGCTGTGTTTCTGGATCTACAAAAAGCGTTCGACACGGTCTAAATCCCTATCCTGCTATGTCGATTAGAAAATTTAGGTATAAGGGGCGTTGCACTGAATTCAAAGACTATCTTCAAAATAGAAGCCAGACTGTTAGATTGGACGGCCATTATAGTGAATCTGCTTCTTGTAATTATGGTGTACCACAGGGCAGTACTGTTGGTCCAACGTTATTTTTGGCTTACATTAACGACCTTTGTAAAGTCCATCTGAATAATGACGAGTTATTTATGTTTGCTGATGATACTGCTTTCGTATTTTATGGTACGTCTTGGGAAGAAGTTAAAATTACTGCAGAAAAAGGCTTATCTAAGGTTACAGCCTGGCTTGAGAATAGTTTGTCATCCCTTAATGTGAACTAAATACATTTGATTTTCCATAAATAAGGCTTCCAGTCCTAAGCAGTCTTTCTCATTAGCTATTCACACCTATCTCTGTAATCTTCTCTTTGATATTCTAGCGGACTGTAACTGTGCAAAGTTAGATCGCGTTAAAACATTCAAGTATCTAGAAGTCATGATAGATGAACACTTAAAATGGGATACTCATATTTCACTTATCTCTGGGCGTATCAGAAAGTAAATGTATGTTTCTAAGAACCTTCGCACGGTAACTAACCTGTCTTTATTAATTAGAGTTTATAGATCTTTGGGAGAATCTTTAATCTGTTACTGTATTTGTGCTGGGGAGGCGCTGCACAAGTACATTTAATTAAATTGGAAAGAGCACAAAGAGCTGTAATGAAGGTTTTAATGTCACTATGGATTCGTCACCCAACAGCCTCATTGTATGAAAAAACTAAAGTCTTACTCTTAAGTGTTCGAAAACTGTTTATATATCAGGTTATATGCAGATTGCATAATAATGTAAGTACAATCACTAATATCTGTAAAACAAGAGCGGCAAAGTGTCATATTCCTCCTTTTAAAACCAAGTTTGCCTCGAGATCATATGACTTTGTGGTGGCACCTTCAGTCTACAACGTGTTACATGCTAAACTTAATCTAAGGCAGTATACAAACAGACAGATAAAGCAACAGATCTGTAATTATTTACTAGAATTAAATGAAATAGGTTTAAATAAACTTATGATGCCTCTAAGTTAATGACGATGATGAAGTTAATCCAAATGTTGAAGTGAAAATTCATAATACAATGGCAATAAATAAAGCATATACGGGAAACATTAAATATAAATACATACACACACTAAAACACGCACACACGCGCGCACACACACACGCGCACACACACACATTTATTTTATTTTTATTATTGTGTTATCACTTCTTATATTAATAAATACATTTATCACATAAATGGTACAAAGTTGGCTTGCTCTGTTCATGTAGTTTTGGGAGTGGAGGCCTGGTGTCTTGTAGAACAGGTTTATCCTATTGGAAGCACCAGTCTTCACATTAAGTAATTAAATATTGTAATTAAGCACTTTATTGTAAATGTTTTTTTTCTACTTATGTGAAGAAATAAACAAAGAATTTATTATTTTTATTATTTATTCAAATCAAGTTTTATGAAATTGCTCAAAAACACATATTTCATGAAGACTCACATAAACAATGCAATTTTCTTGTACACACAAGAGCAATAATTGAATACATAAATGAGGTGCAATAATTGACTTAAGCAACTGTTTACACGCGGACATAGTAGGAAGGTTGCATACAATTATCGAATGACAGTTTTGACAAAAAAGAATTGCAAATGTCTTATTTACACCAATACAATTATATTTAGTAGATTATTGCTTTTCAGTTTTGACATGTCTAAACAGAGGATTGAACAGTACCCAGCTATTTATAAGTCGCATCGAGCTTTAGAAAGAGATACTCGGCTAACTTCGGCTTCGTATATGACCTTTAGTCACTGACTGTCAATCGTAGTTCGTCGCTAAAGAGCAGTCGCGTTCTTCTTAAAATATATATACAGAGTTGCTAAAACAAATATAAGTATTTCGTGAAAGAAAAAAAAATTAAGGATGATGATGGCAGTGATTATTTTATGAGAGTGAGTTGAAAATAAAAATTATAGTTTTTTATTAAAATAAATAAATTAACATACATAGTACATATATGTTGTCTTTTACCTACATGTTTTCTTTTTGTATAGATTTCTAAAAAAAAACTTAAAAAAAGTTTTGGCAGCTGTTAATAGATACCGGACTGTTAGTGTTTCGTGTGACAGAGATGACGCTCTACAAAGCCGAATATAGCCGAAGCTAGCCGAGTACCTCTCTTTAAAGCACGATACGACTTAAAAATGGCCTGGTACTGTATGTGCGTGTACCATTTATTGGAGGAAATGCTTCAAAAATTGCGCTGGCGAATTTTTCATTCAAGTATTGAACGTTTTTGAATAGAAGTGCAATTATTATTATTGTATGTACACCAAGAAAAGGTTTGAAACAAAACTTGTATAACAGATCAAGAATGTAACGTGCTGTTTAGACCATGCAAGTCATTTATTGCTTCATTCGGCAAGAAACTTGCATCATGGCAATGACCCTTTAATCATAATAACACTTGTCAACTTTAGTTTCAGGGTATAATGGACAAACTGTTCGAATCTTTTGAAACGGTGCCCACGAACAACTTTGCAGAGTTTTCAGCCGGTGTTTTCAACTGGCTAGAAGAGTATTGTAAGCCCAACTCCCTGAGAACAATGGTGCACGATGTGTTAAGAGAGCAAAATTATACGCCCTGATAATATTCGGCTGTAGTTTATGGACTTGAGAATATTTTTAGTATATAAAATGCTTGTATTTACAAACAGTAAATTAAATCGATTGCCATTTCAGGGATCAAATTATATTAGATAGTTTTGGTCGTGCCTCGTACGCGCCTTGGACGAGGCAAGACTTAAACGTTATCATAATGTATTATATTAATGAGATAACCGTGACTGTTTTGTGAGTTTTTTTTTTACTTTTTAATATTTATGTGATGTTGTAAAATAATATTTATTCAAACTGAACAGAAACAATGTCTACGCTCCACTTTGCATATTGTTGTTATTCGTTGAATTTTTAGTTTATTATGCATGCAGCGAACTACAAGTGATTTTATTTACTGAACTTATTCCAGTTTTTTTTGTCTTCCTGTTTTTTATAAGTCACAGTTTAAATAAACTGACGATAGTTGAACGTGACAACGTTTTTTTACAATGTATATAGAAAAGTATGAATGTGCTTTGAACAATTGTTTTACAACTTTTAAACATGTGTGATATCATTACCTTTATCGCCGCAATTATCGTTGCTATAAACAATTGACACCACATTCACTTTTCACTGCACTTCATACTTGACGAAAACATGTAAATGTATTATTGTATAGCAGCTGTCCACGCGGACGCGTCGCTCACTCAAGTAGGAGTGAGACAGATGTTGAACGCTGCCGAACGTGGAGGCCGATTGTGCCTCTTAGTCGCTCGTTGCGCGCTCTCGCTTGTACTTCAAGCCTTAAATGGAACGCCTCAGAGCGAGGTAACGCCGCATGAGTCATGTTTTTTCATGCGTGCAGCCGGCTCCTTCAAATTATAAGACGTTGTCACGTCAAAAATGTGTTCTTCGAATATACTTAGGTGTGTATGTTTACATTGAGTACCTATTACATAAATCTATACTTCGCAAGATTTTATAATATTGTAGGCTTCATTAAGTATAAACTCTGTAATGGTATTTCGAGTTTTTAATTTTTATAGTCGTGGCTCAAATTAGTCAATAAAATAGTAACAATCGTAAAGATTGCACCGAGTCATTATCTCATTTATTACCTACTAAACATAATCACTGCAGTTAAATAATTATAAAGAATAGAAATCTAAGTTTTGATATTCAAAGATTTTTAATTAAAAATGTTAAGAATTACAGTGCAATTGTTTTAACGCAATATCCAAAATATTTTTAATTTTCATATATTTTAAAAATGGTTTTGGAAATTGCGTACAGATTCTCTAAGTCGCTTATATATTTATGTAAATATACCTCAAATCATGTACAGCTCGGAATCTACCGATACAAATTAAGGCAAATGATTAATTTCCGTTTGAATATATTTTATTATGAAATCAGGTAAATTTTTACTGAAATTTTACAATTTATATGATATGATATGAGAAAATATACACTTTATATAATTAAAGATAGGATTTGACTCGTATGTTTAATATAATTTGACAATGACATGGATACATAAATGTAAAATTAAAATTACTTAAAAATTATGAACGTAATTGTTTTTCCCGTAAATGCTCAATTCAGCTTATGCCAATAAAAGCCTAATAGTAGGGGAGCCCAAGCGGGGATTTTTTGATTTACTCGAGCGCGGCAGAATAACATATGGGGAGCAACCTTGCACGTAGTTAAGTACTCCTACTATACCTGAGCCATCTATGTAGGGCCGAACGTCAAGGGCAGCAAAAACAAAATTTCAACAAATGGCCATAACTTTTGGTCGGGTCCAAATCGTCAGTCTTTTGAATAGAAGCTACTGGAGGGTTCATGTATCATGCCTTCTCAATGTCTGACGTGTTCGGTTATTTTTTCCTATATTCTACTCTACTTCGTACGTCCACACGAACCTTCTAGTAGCTTATATTCAAAAGACTGACGATTTGGGTGCGCCCAAAAGTCATGACCGTTCATTGAAATTTTGTTTTTGCTGCCCTAGACGTTCGCCCCTACATAGAGGGCTCAGGTATGGTGGGAGTACTTTACTAGGTGCAAGGTTGCTCCCCATATGTTATTCTGCCGCGCTCGAGTAAATCAAAAAATCCACGCTTGGGCTCCCGTACTATAACAGTTTTTGTAAATTCTCTTATTAAATGTGGACTGAAAAATATGTGAGAAATAGGGAAAATTAATCGTACACATTGTAACTAGAGTTATTTAAAACAGGTACATACTAATTTGTATACCTTATGTTCTTTTAGCATTTTTAATAAGGGGGCGTCCATAAATTACGTGAGGTGTTTTTTTGAATTTTCTGTCCCTCCCTCCCCCCTGGTGAGATGTCGTGAGATTTTTATTCAACCCCCTCCCCCATCCCTCAATCTCACGTGAGATTTTTCAAAATGTGGGTTTCTTACGTAAACGCGTTGGATTGTTATTGTAAAAAGAAAAAAAAATGCTTTGTGCTTTCATTTACGACTAGTTTTCTTTCGAACCAATTAGTGAATGATTTTATCGTATTACGATTACGCTTAAGATTAAATCTTAAACGTGTACAATCTTGATTAAATGGACCAAAATAGTATAATTCTCTTTTGTTTCAATCAGAAAAAAAATTGCGTGATATTTGCCGAGACCCCCCTCTCTCCAACGTAAGATTAGATGAGATTTGACTCGACCCCCTCCCCCCCCTTAAACATCTCACGTAATTTATGGACGCCCCCTAAGGTACTTAATTGTATCTTTTTATTTGGCACTTAACATAAGAATAATTTGTATATTTTGTTTTAAAATTTTATAACATTGCTAGAACATCAAATTGAGACGAATCTAACATCTCGACAAAAGAAATGTATATTTCATCATTCGATAGTTGCATAGAGCTACAGTTCAAGTAATCCAAAGTTGCAGCTAATATTCTTAACGATTGAGAAATGTTGTAGTAACTTTATGAATTGTTAACTGTACATTATTAAATTTTATAAAATATACAATTTCTTTAAAGCTAGATATAAGACAATATTTAGTGCCTTTAATGATTAAGTACCTACATATATAATTTCCTTTATATGTGTGAAGTCAGATAAGATTTATGAAAAGAAATATAATGATTGTTATTCAAAGTCCAGTCTTTAATTTAATGTAAAAGTAAATTCGGATTATTTTAGGCTAGCCAGATACCTATTCTTACGGATAATCATCATCAGCCTATTAAAGTCTCACTGCAAGGCCACAGGCCTTCCCTATGGATGGAATAGAGACTGGGCTGTGACCCAACCCCGTGACCGCGGTATTGATTGGTGGGTGCTTACGATTGCAGATGCAGCCGGGACCAATGGCTGAACGTGCCTTCAGACGCACGGAGGAGCTCGAGATAATAAGTTTTTGGTCACCCATCCAATGCGAAAGTTGCTTAACTTTCACTATCGCAGGCCCAATGCGCTAACCACCTGCGCCAACTACACTAGCTCTACGCCTTAGTCAAAATATGTAACTTCGCTGTTTTGTTACTACAAGAAGTATACCTACATTTTTTACCTTACGCCCATGCGAATGTGGCGAAATAGCCAAGTCACATATTTTAACTGAAGTCTTTAGTTTGTTAACTAAGCAGTTTAAGTTATAAGTGCCCTTGCACTATCTACCTTTTCTTGAAACGCTCCGTGGTTTGTTTGAACCCTTTAGTTTGGGTTTGTATTATACCAGATAACCATGTACCGTACCCCCAGACACTCTTTAAGGTCGGCGTAAGTACAGTTCCATTGAGGACTACATAGCCCCAAAAATAAAACACTCGTCTTCAGTAGGTAATAAACTCCACCTTTGTAGATCATAGTACAACTATATATGCTTTTGTTTCTGTCAGTGAGCAAGTGTATTTATGGCACCGGCACCGCCGCGGTTCTGCCGTAGAAAGTCACTATCTGAATCCATACTATGAAGCCTTTTATGGATAAAAATAAACAATTTGCTTCAAAATTTCTAATTCCATAGAATAAATACACATAGATAAAGCTTACTTTTTAACTTCAAAGTCAGCGTAATAGCCTGCGCAGACGAAGGAGTTTAGTCTGCCGAAATAGATCGCTTATAACTGCATCGATTTATCGCACAGGAAGGATTAAAAATACTATTAAGATTTATTAAGAAAAAGTCCCCCGAATAACCGAGAATACCGAAAGACCGTCAGGACAAAAGTACGTGGGAGTCCTCAAATAAACTCGATCCGATTTAAAGAATTGGACCCAGTATTCTCTTTTAAAACTTCTTCTCTTCATGTTAATTTCAACACAACAAAATCTGAGAATACTTACCTCCATAGCGTGCGCTTTTCTAATTTTCGGGGGACAAATGTAAGCACATCGTGTGCGTTGAGTACGTGACACTTGAGTCCTCCGCAGTGGCGGCGCTAGGCGTCGGCGATGTCGGCCACCGCCGACGGACCCGCGCCTGAGGGGGCCTCGCAAAAAGTTTTTAGAAGTTACCTATTTATTTACGTTTCTTCTGGCCTGGCTTAGGTAGCCGACCCCGAACAATTCGGGGAAAAGTTAAGCAGATGATAACGACTTTTATTATTTTCGAACACGTGCGTGATGGAAGCGATTAGTACTTTACAGGTATTCAGAATCGTCTGTCTGGCAACACTATTTTTGTAATTAAATTTCTATGTTTGTAATTATTTTTTGTCATCATTTGATTATCAACAATAAAACTCTCTTACTCATACGTTATTTTATAATTTGGCTCACCTAATTTAACGGTTTATTACTGCGAAGTAAAATAGGCCTCGCGAACTTGATGTCGCCGATGTCCACATGTGGTCTAGAGCCGCCACTGGCCTCGGCGAACATTTTCTTCACGATTCATGGATTTTATCCTCCGCGGACAAGTCCTTCGTCTGCGCAGGCTACTATCGTTCATACGAATGGAAATAATGCTACTTGTCTAACTAAACCAATACACAGGGCTCCACGGGGTAGGGTTTCTGTCGAACTAATCGGCTATCGTCGCAACTGGACTATAAACACTATATACGGTGATGCGAGCTAATGTTATGGAATTTGCTGTGCCTTGTTTAAGTAAGAAAAAACCTGACTGGAGATCAAGTCTAGGGCCCGTATTATAGAAAGAGATTGATCTAGTCTTGAGCATAGTTAGAAAGGGATGTCGCTATATATATTTAGCACATAGCGACATCGCTTTCTAACTGTACTCAAGTAAAGATCAA